CTCAAGGCCTGGACTGTACCCACCATTTTGATTTTGACCACCTTATTTATGTATAATTTCAGGTTTGTAATAATGATCTATGCAGGATGTTACAAATGCATAAAACTCCTCAGCTTTAAAGTTCATCTATTATGTAATTTGTCAGAAAAGCATATTTGGTTAAGATATTATCTATCCAAGCTCAGCTAATGGAAAGTTATCTACAGGCGTCCACAAAAGGGCTATATGCAAAGGACTTGCCTAAGCACAAGGGAAGTATTTTGCAGCGAAGTTCAGGCCAAAACAGTTAAAATCCCAATTTTTATGAGATTTTTCACATTTATAACTTTGTGGTTATGACTTGCTGCTTTGCTCCCAGGGACAACTTAGACATTCAGTTTGATAAAACTTCTGAATGTTTGTCCTGGGACATGGAAAAGCGGTCTCTGGAGTCCCATTAAATAATTAAATAATCAGGAAAGTAGAATTATCCCAGGGAAGTGGCCTAAATATTTGCATAGTGTGTTTGACAGAGGATACTTTCTTTACCTCATAGTATTAAACACCATTTCCACACATTTTTCCATATTGGTTTTCAAGGATATGATTTTTCAAAGAATCATTTAAAAGTGGATATACTCCCCCTCTCATACAAATCCTTGTCCGCTAAACTACTGTAAATTTAAATTTAAACCTCTTTAAGTTGCTGTTGAAGAATGTTAGTCGTACTTATACGATATATATACACTAAGAGTCTGTTAAAAATATACATTTAGAAAAAAACACACTTACCACTGGTGATCTTGATTTATTTGTTAATTTGAAGTTATTTTGGTCACAGTAGTGGCTTGTTTGACTTCTGGCATCTATACAACAGAAGAAGGTTCTTTGTGCGTGTAGCTGGGATAGCATCTGGGAAAAAGGAACTGCAAAGAATGTGATATAAAGTAGTTGTCCCGATTTATTTCCATCATGTACCACATCTAGGTCAGTGGGATTCTTTCCATTCATTCCAATTTGAGTAGGAAGGATTACTCCCTACTGTTTACTCCCTACTCTACCGAATTTGGCCGATTAAATTTACACCGTGTCACGGAGGTGCCTCTGAAAGTTGTACCCTTCCTGAAGAACTGTTGCTAACATGAACAGTCCCAGTGGCCTCACCAATACCAACCCATGGTAAGAATTTTTTTTGGGTAAAAAAAATTGGTTTTCTTCATCTGAGGGCTGTTTTAGCAGTGAAGGCTAAGAAGGAAAGACTCACTTAAAGAAATTGTTTTCAAGAGTGCTATCAGGACGCGAGTGAGCTTGTACAGCAAATGGCCACAGTTACAGAAAACGTGTGGAGTCACAAGCAGGAGAAAGGGTTGGAAACAACCATCCATATTCCATCACTTTTCAAAGATAACCATACTCAAATGAGCAAACACACTTTGGTAAAGCAAATTTGTAACTTACGCTCAGGAGCTTCACGATCCTTGCCCTCAAATCAAATTTATTCGGGAATATCATCATAGGAAATACGGACAAATACAGCAGAATAAAAACACACAGTTGTAGATTGCGTTGTTGAAAATTAAATTAGAAAATACTGGCTAGGTCATAACCCATAACAATATTACATAATATATCTGTCAGATATCTCAAGATAAAAATACAAAATAAAACTCTTGAGGGCTAATCTATAGCTACAGCTCCTCAGTGTGCTCAATGCAGGGGTACATGCCCATAATGCTGTGGGAGATGCATATACAAACACCATTTCTTATGGCCCCATGCAGTGTTTTGGTAGTGCAGCCTTACAGGTTTCGGAGAGAAATTACTGTTCAGGGAGAGGCCCTCTCAAGAAGCCTTTCTGCCATCCGAATGCGAATCTCGCCCAAGGTCAAAGCCTTAACTAACACGTTGGCTGTATCGGTCTTCACCAAAGCAAATTTCTCCTCATCCAAACAACACACTAAGCTCTGGGTCATGTCCAGGTAAAATCTTGCTAAGAATAAAGGAAGGAAGAAAGAAAGAAAGAGAGTCAGCTGGCATTAAAGAAAAACTAAGGACTCTTCTTGTATTTCAGTAACATCTACCACAGTGATTAAAACTGAATAAAAATGAGCAAATAGGATTATTTATAGACAAATCACATTTCCATAAAAAATGAATGAGTTCTGCAGGCACGGAGTGCCTCCTGTGAGATAAGGAGCTCCTCTCGTTTCTGCAGTGGGAGATTTGGTGCTGGCTATAACAACAGGACCCTGAGAGCTCCACAGGATGCTCCAAGTACTCTGCAGAATCTGTTGTAATTTCTGCTCATATTTCCAGGTCAAAGTTCTTGCAGAGTATATAAATCACAATGGGAGAGAGACACAGAAAAAGAAGTCAGGTTCAACTATGGTAAAAGTCTGAAATTCAAAATACAATAAAAACATTGAATTCTGATTGCTCTAGACTTTCAGTCTCAATGAACCACAAATTACAATGTTGAAGAACACTCTGTAACAAATAGGTAACTGGCCTAGTTTTTAAAGATATCAGTCATCTTTTGTTCTTTTCAAATTTGGTCTTTTTCGCAGATGCTCAACATATCTGAAATAAGGTCCCAAGTTCTCAGATGTTAAACAAGAAGAGTTTTGACTGCCACAGCGTATGGCAATTTACAATTAAAAAAAAAAAAAAGTCTGATATGACCATTATGTTTCTTCTATTGACATAATGGCAATAAGAAACTATAGGATGGTTTACATTGTATTATAAGGGGGGAAGAGTCCAACATTCCCAAAAAGGATGCAAAGGTGCACAGAGTGGTCCAGGCTATTAACGGTTTGCTTAAACACTAGCAGAGAACATATAAATTCTTAACTCTTAGCAAAAAATATCAATTGAGATATAACATGTATGATACAATTTCATTTGTTAACATTTCATTCATTAACTGCACTGTACAGAAATTTGTCCATGCTAAATACAAGTCCTGGACCAGATACACAAAACAATTTAAATGCACTTTTTACATCCTATATGCACAAACATTTCTTAAGTTAAAACTATGCACACTACTTATGCATAGCATGTATATGGCTTACATATTCAATGACAGGAATTCCACCTTTTGGCATGCCCTTATCGCACGGCTTGGAGCTCGCACCGTTCCCAGCTCAGTTTCGATTGCTCCGCTGCCAGAAAAGAGACAGTCAACAGGTATGGATGCGTAAGGGTTCCTCAGTCTAGGGTGACTGTTTTCTGATTCCTTCAATCGGGACAAAGCGTGCCCTTGTTGAGGTTGAGCCTGATGCCTGTTGAGCTCCGGTTAGATCCCTGAAGCAGCAGATGAATAGCACATAAACCTCAATCACCCGTTGGCCCCTGCATTGAGGGGAGTGCCACCGCCCCCATGAGTCCGCTTCAGAGTGGACCATGGCTGATTGTAAAGACTTTTTGGTCAGTGAGGTAATAACCACAGGGTCCGAAAAGGAGAACCAGGAGCGCGGCGATCCGAGCCACCCAAGCGCCTACAATGCGAAGAGGAGCATGGAAGTTTCCTGGCAGTTTCCAGCAGAGGAAGATGAGGCTGGCTGCAGTGCGAGGGATGTCTGGGCAAGCCAGGAGAGGTCACGTGCAGCTCGAGGGAAGTGGAGATGAAAATGGAGTCTCTTTCTGGGCACAGTTCAGGCTGGAGGGCTCATTCTGAGGCTTCTTGAAGAGCTTGCAATGCTCCGTTTTTGTTGCCTCTCAGAGAAAGATGGTCTGGTGTTTTCTTTTAATGAAACAGTCTTAGCAAGGATTTTGCAAGATCCATGTTGTCACCTTTGCATTTGAGACAAACCGTGATATAAGGCCTCAGTGTCACCTTCCAGTTGGTCTGAGAGGCAACACAATATTTTGCTGAATCGATGCAATTTTCATGTATTCCTGTAGCTGTCTCTTCCACCCTACAAAACAAGCACCAGCTTCACGGTAGGACTGATACCATTACCGATGTCTTCTAAAATACTGTAGGACTGAGGACGTTTTAATCTTTAACACTGGATGCTATTTAAGTAATTTTAAAGAGATATTGTGAATACTGATTTGTTAAACACCAGTTGTCTCCACATGGCAGCCACCACAGCGGGGAAGAATCGTTATCCATGCAGGCTGGGCAGTGTAACTGTGCAACCTCCCTCTACAGTCTACATATTTTTATTTCCAGACATTTTACGGAAGCTAACAAGTAGGACTTTGATGTTGCATGCAGCATGGTTGCATGAACAAGTATCTATAACAACGTTTAATTTTGACTTTCCGTTTCCATTGGACGCCAGTAGCAGTGATACGTTACAGCAATCCCGGGCAGATGATAAATGTCATGTTTTCACACGTCTCATAGTTAACCGGAAATGTCTGGTGTCCGTGACGCAATAAAGCGAGGTTCAACTTTGGCTGAAAAAAGTATTTTGGCTAGTTTAAGAAAGCTGAATAGAAGAGGAAATAGCAACAACAAATACAACTGAAATTTTGCGATCTGTTAAGTGCCTTGAGTTACCAGCTCAGGGTTTTACATGTTACACTTTTGATCATTTTGTCCGATCACTCTCCACAGAAACAGGATGATCCAAGAACGAGTTGACAGACAACAGCCTCTAACAGCGCAGGGTAGGAACAGCTAGAGTTCTTTTCTCCTGCAACAGAGGTCAAATGAAGCTTCATAAGCAACAGGTTTTTAATACTATTACTTCCTGTATTTAATGCACATGAATTGAGCGTGTTTTATTGCTTGCGCATTTAGTCTAACATTAAGGATTCGGAGACATAAAAGCATTGTTTTCCCCTTCTTTATACTGAATGGCTTTTAAGGGGACATAGAAAGTGGGATGTACCATGTCCCCATGTAAAAATTTTGTAATAAAACCACAACTGGAACAGAACAAAGAGGATAATAATAGAAATAAGTGAGTCTTTATGGTCTAAAACTCTCCCCACTATAAGAAAGAAATTACAAAATTACCTGTCCTGCCTGAAATGTCAGAAGCTTTTATGAAATAGCAAATCTAGTTCTGCATCAGTGCTTCATTCTGCTCAGTGGCTTTTACTGTATCTTCTGACTTCTTGCAGTGTTTAGGCTCACCTGGAAGACAAACAGAAGTGACTGGGAACCTGAGTGAGGAAGTTAACCAAGAGAATCTGCGCAGCCCTGTACAGGAACTTTTTCCCCTTGACTTTTTTAAAGTTAAAATGAGGTTTCAGGCACTGCTTGCTTTAATTGCTTTCTCACCGGAGTAAGCATAGGATTGAACTAACTAATCATTATGGCTTATCCATAAGATAGAATGACAGCAATAGATCACATCATGAAACAAAACTACGATGACATTTACATAAGTAAGTGTTAATAAAGTGGGTTTGGTTTATTTTTCCTTCCAACTTACTGAAAATCAAAATTCACCCTCTGCAGCGAAGTGCTGTTTAATGTAGGCATTCAAACTGGGAGTAAGCCTCCCTCAGCTCATCTAATGAAAGATGCCGATGTCAAGTTGTAAGAACTCAATTCAACCAGATAGGAGCAATGACACTGAGTGACACAAGTAGCTTTCAAACTAAGTGATACAACATTAATTTCAAACCGCCAATCATAATATTAAGCTGCTGCTTAAACTATTCCCTCAGTAATTTTGAGTGAGTGCAGCTGAGGAAATTATAAACTAGAGATAGTAGGCACGGGGAGAACGTAGCAAACTTGACGTGTTATTTACTAGTTATAATATAGTTTTAACCAGTTGATTGAGTGATCCCTCCAGAGATTAATAATGCCGAACTGAAAATGTGAAAAAGGAAAAGCACAGAAGTCTCAAAAGTGGAAAAGACGAGCTGGGAGAAGGAGAAAAAATTGTAAAAATAAGAATACAGGCAGGGGAAGATTTTTGAAAGACGGAAAACAAAGGTACAAGCAGCTGAAAGGGAAAGCGGATGATGTGTGACCTGAAACGAAAACTGAAAGGCAGCAAGTTGAAGTTGAAGAAGAGGCTCATAGTTTAGAAAAGAGAAAGGGAACAGAGGAAAAGGGAGCTCATGACAATGAGGAAAGAAGAAAATTAATAGCTATGAATTTATCATGGCTTCACTGTAAACCAGTGAGGATTGCTACTGATTTTACCCTTGTTTCATTGCCATGAGCGGTGACAGAGTCGCTGCTGCTTACTCTGTAACGCGGCCGCCAGTGGATGGGCCATATTCCCCCAAGCAGCAGTCTTCCCTGTCCCCCTTATTTTACATAAATTTTGTGTGAGTAGAATATAGACAAGCAGCTCTCTAAAGGATTTTGAAGTCTCAAAATTGGACTAAGATGAATTAGAACAAGAACTTCACCAGATCTTTCAGTCTGTAGTTGTTTTTGCAGGGATTTAGAGAAACTTTTATTATTATCCATAAAAAAGAATTGGGGTGGGAAGGGGTATGAAAGTAAAATCTAATTGACCCAAATATTAAAGTTTTATACTTGACGTAGAGTGTTTAGCAGGGTTTTAGGAGTGGGATAGGAGCGGTTTGCGGAGGCCTTAAAACAAAAACTTTATTTTTCATGAAAAGTAAACATTGACTTCTAAAGCCGCACAGCGTGCACAAGGAACGCTAACGAACCAGGTACCACAGCAATCCGCGCCCGCTTTGCACGGACGCGAAGGGGTCCGCGCTCGGCTGAGCGGCACAGGGCCCCCGCGGCACCGAACGATCACTAGCGCTTGCGTGGCACGGGTGATTACTCGATGCCGCTTGCGGTACCGTGTATCAAACCGGCATGTTGTTGGTGTGGATCTGTCCACTGCTATTTAACCCGGTTATCCTCAAGAGGCTTTCACTTACTGACTGCCGATGACGGGGAACACTGTATATAACTCGATGTGACTGGGTAGTCCTCTACTGTCATACGGAGCAAAGTTACTGATAATCTGTTGTATCACGGATTTATTATCTCCTTTACATTTTGATGTTAAGGATTAATGTGGCTATCACCATGACTGAAAAGTTAAGTGTGCCAATTAGCGTTTATAAATCATTGAAACGTGGAGTTGTTTAATTAAACATAAGCAGTTTTTAAAATTAATGTTCTAATTAATAAATCACTCAGGAGAAAAGGAAAATCATCACTTAAAAAAAAATCACCTTATAATAGTTCCACTTAATCTTGTAACATTCAATTAAATGAAAGTGAGATGATGGAAAGGACAAAGGTATTGTGGAGAAAAATTGCATTCAGTCACAACTGAAGTTCTTGTAATAGCGGCCCTCCGGCTCTGCCTTCGCACTGACCAGGACGCAGGGCACAGCTACTCCTGTTAATAAAATGTGATAGTCTACAAGAACTACAGCTAGAGAGAGATGTGATACAAGGAGAAGAAAACAGTCCCTTTTTTCTTTTTTTTAATGGGGAAGCCCTTCATCACAGTACATCCAAACGTTCAGTGACAGTTCGCAGACAGATCATCTTCCAGTGCTCCCCGTCTCTGTTATAATTCAATCAGACTCAAATAGAAGAAAATAACTCAGAACCAAACTGAGTTTGCTGCTTTTCATAAAGACAGAACAATGATAGCTAACATAAGAAATTTCAATCTGAACAACCATGTCGTTTTTCGTTTTACTTTCTGTCTCATTGTCCCAGCCCCAGCGCCCGCAGGAGTTACTTCCCCGTCCCGGGAGTCAGCAAGCACTCCGGACACCGCTTTAGCCTTCTACCCTCCGTCCTCAGTACCGCAAGCACAGAGGTAGAAAAATCTATCATGGAGAAAGCTAATAATGTCCCGATAGATGTATAGTGCTGCTTAGAATAATGAAAGAACTCTAATTTGGGAACAAGGGAAAAAACGTAAGGCCGTATCTATGCTACCTTCTGTTTGCTTGAAGTGGCATTCCACTGAAACTACCTGGCATTCCACTGAAACTGTCTGACCTTGGCTGAAGGAGTCCCGTCTGGATCTGCTGGCCACCAACAGAGGTGCAAAAGTGAGAAGTGGGGGTGCTACCCATGCTATATATCCCTTCTGTGCCGAGTGCTACTGCATCACACACAACACGCTCACTCTTGACCATCTCAAATATCACTCCTACAGAGAAAAAGGAGGGGGGAGTGTGAGGAGAAAACAGAGACTGCTGTGCTATTTGTAGTTATGGGGCTCCTACACGCACTCCAGCAATGAAAACACTTGCAAAAACACTAATATTAAGCGTCTACATTCAGACAATAACGACAGTTTAAAGCAATTCCCTCCATTTAGAATGACATGAAATCATTTCACCACCGCGAAAGAGAAATGTGAAACATTTTAGCCTGAGTTTTCCCTTTGCTATTGAATATTGCAGAGTATTTCAATACTAAACGCCTGCATTGTCTTTTTTCAGTTAGCTTTAACGGTGAGGCACAAACAATCTCTGCAGAGGTACTTAAACCTGCTGCTGAAACCCAGTATTAATTCATTTTGTCTGCAAGAGCCAGGACCCGAGTCTCACCGTGTGTTTGTAGGAAGTCTGCTGCCCCGGCCCCTGTGCATTACAGTGATGTAAATCCCTGCACTATACTTGTTTCATTGGCAGGCACAGGAACAGCCCACCGTATATGTTATTATATCATCTATGACAGAGTTTAGAAATTAATACTGGGTCTTCCCTGAGATTTATTAGAAGCATCAAGTTCTGTGAAAGGGACATCGCTGACTTAAAAGATTATAGTATTTAGATAACATACAGTCAGACTTCTCACTAAATAGTAACATGGCTGATCTGTCCTTAGGACATAAAGTTTTAGGAATATGATGACACAGTCCCTCTGTAAATCATTTCAAAAGACCATAGATATTCAAAATATTTTTCTATGACAGATTTAAATTTTGGGAAAATAGGGAAAATGCAAGAATGAAATGTTATTAAATTTAAAGTATAAATCAAACTACTTAGTAACATAAAACCAGAATGTAATTGATACTGTGACTGACCAATAAACCCCTATAATAGAAGGCGGCTCAATGGAGATGGGCCCATCGAGCTCGGGAGACAATGCACGGGGTGACTGAGCAGAGCTGTTGCAAAGCAAGCGGACAATCTCAACACAAAGGGGAGCAGAGGGTGGCCTTTCTTTCAGATAAGCACCTATGCCAGTTGAGTGGATCCACTGACTATATCCCCATTGAGGGGATCAACCAGTGGTGCAGAAGTTTCTCCCTGAGTTCATTAGAGGGGTATGACTGTCTCCCTGAGTTAGCCAGGCCAGCATGGAGGAGAGTGAATACGTGTCTCAGCCCAACACAGAGTATAAAAACTAAACAACTAGTAAAAGAATTTTGAAGAGAGCAATGGGCTTGAGTTGGCTTCAACTCATCTATGCCTTACTGGTGACTGGGGACGCCCAGCGTCGTGATGGTGTGCATATTCAAGAGACAAGTAATGGGAATTGCATCGGCATTGTGATTGAGCAGCGTACTGCGACTGCTCTGTTTTGCTAAGCGTAACTTACATTGGTAGTGTGCTTTCAGTATATTTTGTATCACTCTGCTAAATAGGAAATCCCATGTAACATCAACTATCTTCAAACAGGTAAATTAGATATTAAATGTTACAACCTTCACACATGGAATATCTAAAAGAACCTGGTCAAAGAGTAGTGGACTCTGACATCAACAGAAACCAGGCAAAACATTAATCAAGCTCTCCATTTACCTGGGTATTTATCTATGCTGGAAAATGAACACAAATAATCACTGAGGGAGGTGGATGAGAGTAAATTCAACATACCACAGTGAGCAGAAGTTTCACATAAAATGACAACTAAATTCGCGTTCAAATATCAGATGCCTTTAAAAATACCACTTAACCAGTATCCTTATTCTATGCATAGTATCACTCTACTAAAAGATTTGTGATGGTGTACATCAGAAACCTAGCTTCACCTTGTGGTTTTCTGACTTGAGGGACTATGAATTACTTATGAGGGGATCCATGAAAGGTTCATGAGACTAAAAGAAATGCAAATTTACTTTCTGCAGGCTTAAGTTGGCTGACCAGGGACCTACATTTCCACTGGAAAAATTTTAAGGACTGACAGGTCTGCAAATAGGTGAAAAGTCACTATTGGGAACTCAT